TTCCTTCAAGAAAGCTTCCGGAAATCGCTACTTTTAAATTTCCAACAGTGATTTTGCAACGTTTCTGGTTAGCACAGAAGAAAAATAACTTTTTGATGGCGAGCAAATCGCGCGTCAATCGAACATGAGGTAATTGCTGGCGAGCTGAAATGAAATGATGCATTTCGTCGTCCTTTAGCGCTTCTGCAAACAAGCAACAAGCAGCACTAAACTCCCTTAGTTTTCCGGAAGCTGTCAGTAGATGAAAAGATTGTTTAGAAACAGAACCTGAAGCTGTTCTGTGGAAGTCAGCAGAAGTTGACAAAACTGTGCAGGTTGCAGCAACCAGAAATAATTCCATTTTACGCCATACTCATTTAGCCCAAGCTGCATGCAACTCGAACACTTATCACTATCGGTCGCAACATTTCAAAAACACCGATGGATCTAGGAAGCAAAGCAAGAGTGCGTTTATAAGTTTCATCAAGTCTGCCCCTTTAGTAGCTGAACCAAACCCTTGAAGGGAGGCAAAAATGAAAACAGAAAGGCGAGAAGACATTGGAAGTATCACTTTGAGACAAGTAATTTGCAAAAAACGGGCACATTGGAAAATAATTTTACTTTCAGTTACCTAAAAACAAAAATTTGTAAATGAAAAGTAAGAAATTATCTTCAGGCGTTGCTCAACATCCCCGAGCTTGTTTGCATTATCGCGCTAAACATCCATGATGAGCGTTTATCGCCGTGTCCAGGTTCAGGAGAAAAGAAATACAAGGTTTTTGGAAAAGAAATAAATTCAATCTCCTGACAAAGGCATTGCTCTGAAGCCAATACTTTTTGGCTAGCAAAAAAACTTCCGTTTTTTTTTTGATGAGGGATATGTAATTAATGCAGAAATTATAGATCTTAAAAGAAACACGCTTGCTTGATAATTTTAAGCACCATTAACTAGGGCTTTGGACACGCTCATGTAATATTTAATTCACGAAACCGATCGAAAAAAATTTCTTTCAAACAAACAAAAACAACCTATTTGTATAGCTCCAAGCAGGCATCATTGGAGGAGATGAATAGTTTGCGTCCTAAAAAATTCTACTTCTTCAGCTTCTAGCCAAAGTTTAACCATTAGC